AAAGATTAACTATACTTTTGCAATCTTAAAACATTTTGAATTTTCTTTCTGAGTTTTTCCACAGTTTACTAGGGAAAGAAGCATAAAAGGAAAACAATGGAAATGTTTTGTTGTAAAGGTGACCTAACAGTAAATTTAAATATAGGGAATTGGGCACTGTGTTGAATGTCTCCATTATTAGCACATAAGCGATCTTAAATAAATGTCTAGTGCATTAGACACTCTTTAACACAAGGTTATCAGGACTCTGCTTCCAAGGGCAGGCTGGCAACATATTTCAGGAAGGATGTGATGATTCTAACGTAGCCTTTGAGCTATGCGAGCAATACAGCAGTGAAGACTCATGAACATTGTTCCCTTCCTTTCTGCTCCCCAAGCCCCAGAAATGTTAGGGGACAAGAAGGAAAGAAAAGCCTGTGCTGCATATTTTCCAGGAACCAAATAGCATCAAAGGGCAGTATGATACTACAAACTTTGCTTAATAAAACAAACTGACACAATTAAATGACCACTGAAAATAAACATTGTGGTTTCAAAACTTTATTGATTTAGGATGAAGTTTTCATATTATGCACTGTCTTAATGTGGGACTATTCCCTTTCTTTTTGCTTATTTAATAAATATCTGTTAAGCACCTGTATCCACTAGGCACTGTTTTAGGTGCTGGTGCTTCAGTGGTAGACAGAGCCCCTGCACTCATACAGTTCTCACTTTGTGGGTTGGGAGGCAGACAGCAAATCAGTAAACAGACACACATACACAACACAATTTCAAATGCCAGGTGTTTAAAGCATTCCGCCTGATTTTTCTGAGGAATAGGGGCAAATAACTTTCTGCTGCCTTAGATCTGTGCTGACTAGGACACAGATCTACACAGATCTTACAAACTACGATTGGTAAGAGACTATGGTTACTCAGAAATATACAGGTGTATTTATATATATACATGTATTTTTTTATTTTAGATATTTTTATTTCTCCAAATTTGATATTTATCAGGAGTGACTGAAATAAAAAATATAATTGAGTCCCATCATCATCATGGAAATGGCTTTAAGAGAAAACTGGTCAGATGAATATTATTGCTTCCCATTTTCAACCAGTAAATAGTTGCCACAGATAAATTGACAGCCAGGAGTCTGTCGAGAATGCTCAAGATATGTTATATAATACAACATGCCTGTTCACGGGGGGAACATTCCCAGGAAATAACTTATGTGTACTTCTTGATTTCATCATACAAGACAAGTACAAAAGCACCACCCATGCCTCGGAGAACATTGGACCATGCACCCTTGAAGAAAGCTTTGCCTCCTTCATCACGAGCAATCTTCCTCCAGCAGTCAAGTGTGCCTGTGTACATGATGTCAGTTCCTTTGCGCCCCGACTGCATCATCATGTGGCGGCGAACAGTGTCAAATGGATAGGAAGTCAACCCAGCAACAGCAGTGACAGTCTGTGCGATCATCCAGCTGATAACGATGTGAGTGTTCTTGGGATCTGGAAGCATTCCCTTTGCAGTGTCATAGATACCGAAGTAGGCAGCTCGGTAGATGATAATACCCTGCACAGACACATTAAAGCCTTGATACAGGCCCTTAATCCCATCAGATTTGTAGATCTTAACCAGGCAGTCGCCGAGGCCTCGGAATTCCCTTTCAGCTCCAGCTTTACCCACATCTGCTGCTAGACGGGTACGGGCAAAATCAAGAGGGTACACAAAACACAAGGATGTGGCCCCAGCAGCACCGCCTGATGCCAGATTCCCTGCAAAGTAGTGCCAAAACTGGGTCCTCTTGTCCACACCACCCAGGAAGATCTGCTTGTATTTATCTTTGAAGGCGAAGTTAAGGGCCTGGGTGGGGAAGTATCTGATGACATTAGCCAGGTTACCGCGCCAGAAGGACAGGATTCCCTGCTCCTCGGGAATATGGACCACGCAGTCTATAATACCCTTGTATTGCTTATCTGCAGTGATCTGCTTGCTGGCATGCTGTACCTGCAGCAGCAGCTTGACCCGCTCAATGGGCGCTACCGCTGTCTTGGAGATGGCTGCGGCCACTCCACCTGCCAGGAAGTCCTTGGCAAAGGACACAGCGGCATCTGTCATGTTGAAAGGAAAGAGGAGGCAGGCTTGCTGCAGGACGGGACTGGGCCGGGAACCGGCTTTGACTCCGGGGCTGCGGGCATATATATATATTTTTTTGAGACGGAGTTTCGCTCTTATTACCCAGGCTGGAGGGCAATGGCGCGATCTCGGCTCACCGCAACCTCTGCCTCCTGGGTTCAGGCAATTCTCCTGCCTCAGCCTCCTGAGTAGCTGGGATTACAGGCACGTGCCACCATGTCCAGCTAATTTTTTTTGTATTTTTAGTAGAGACGAGGTTTCACCATGTCGACCAGGATGGTCTCGATCTCTTGACCTTGTGATCCACCTGCCTCGGCCTCCCAAAGTGCTGGGATTACAGGCTTGAACCACCGCGCCCAGCCAGGTGTATTTATATTTTTATTACACATATACAATCAATAAGGGCCCTGGGCATTTGATTTTTATTTTATTTAAATGATAAAATGGGTCTAGTAATGTTCGTTGTCATAGTTACGAGTGCTGATTTAATGTTAGGGAATTTACTTCACATTTTAGCACAGGAAAAGTGTGGACTTATTATCTGTAAATTAGAAACACAGAATAAAACCTAATTCAATTACTTGTTCTGGTATCAGAATCAGCATATGTGAATTATATTTGCATTTGCTGAATTATAATGAAGTTCTTAACAAAACGAGAGGTATTAAAGGCCCACGGCAATGGTTCTTAAACTTCACCGTGTACTTAGGAATTACCCATGAACACTGATAAAAGGCAGATTGTAGGGCTCAGACATAGCACATTCTGATTCTTTTATGTGTTCACTATTGCTCAGGAATCTGGGTTTTCAATAAGCATCCTGAGTGATTCTAATAAAGATGGTTCTGGAACCCCACAGAGACCCATTGTCTTGTTGGGTTGTATCAGATATACATGAGTTGATTTTTTTCTTTTATTTTTCAATGACACTCCAGTAACTCCAAAGGGAACAATTTTAAGTACTCTCTGAAATACGTATCTAGGAATCAGTAGTGGAATATCTTTTACACAAGGCTTAAGAGAGCAGTTTTATGCCGTAAGACCAAAGTTCCTGGCTCCTGTCCTGGAATAACGTAGTATTGTTTAATTGATTACCAGGTGGACGCAAACCAAAAAAACATAAATATGTATAGAATTAGAGAAATACTGTCAGAAGGTTGGAGTCTAACAGTGCCTGGAATTTTCAAAATCAATCAGAGTCATAATTTTAAATGTTGCACAAAGTAATACCGTAATCCAAATGATAAGTTATGCATTCATTTATTTAACTTTCATTCATAAAAATCTTTATATAATTACTGCCTGTTCTTTTGAAATCCTTTCCTACTGCGTAGTTTGTAAAAGTTCAAAATAGATCAAAACTAGCTGTTAGCCTATTTATTTCTGTAAACACAAAACTCTGTTAATGCTCTTAGGTGAAGTAAGCCCAAATATAGGCTATGTTCTGTCATGTATGACTAAAATAAAAATTCAGCCTAAGGAAATCCCCTTTTGCAGACATTATTTGTTCTACAAAAAGTACAAAAGTTAGCTGGGCGTGGTGGCGCACAGAGACTGTATCTCCACGCTGCCTATTCTAGGTTGCAGTGTGTTCCCAACACACATCTTTAATGGTTTAAAATGATATTTCAATTTTTTTCCTTCAGTTTGTATGCTCTGCCAGCTGTATGCTTCCTCTGCACATTTCCAAAGTGAAGAAAATGAAAAAATCTTTTTTTCTAATACTGTATTAATAGAGAAATCTAGATTTTTGGATTAATATTCTTTAATAAGCACCTAACTCAACAGGTTGCTCTCTAATTGATTACAGTTCCCACTGGAACGCTTCCCCAGGTTGACCGAAGGTCCAGGGTTTTTTTCTTATTCTTCTTTCCATCCTCTATTCAGTTTCAGTTGGGAATCTACCAAACTAAGATTACATTGACCACTCAATTTTAGGCAGAAAGGGACTGCACAGATTAGCTCAACTGCCTCCTTTTCAAAGAAACTATAGCCCACGGACCGATTTACTAAAATGGGTGTATTCTTCTTATCCGTGCTGTCCTATTGTTCAAGATCCCAGACTAGTCATAAAGCAAATGGTACAACTGCGAGCTGATGGGAATTTCTGGAATGGGTTTAAGTGTGAGGGAGACAAAGGCCTAGTGGCAAGGTCAGCTCTGGAAGTAGATTACTTAGATTCCAATTTACTTAGTTGTGTGTTCTTGGGCAAATTACATAACTTTTCTGTGCCTCAATTTATTTGAAAGATGGTGTGTAATATCTATCTCACAGCATAATTGTGAGGATTATTGAGCTATTCTACCAAAAGTATTAAAACATGAGGTTAAACTCCCAGTAAACAGTATTTTACCCAAATTACAAACTGCGAAACCCTTAAGTCTTGAGCTCTCAAGGGGCATTAGGAACCCTCCTGTGGTATTTCTCTTCCAAAAGTTTGCTGAACAAAAGTTGATGTTGTATTTTCAAAGAGCTCAAATGGATTTCTTTTATGAAGTTTGGGGCAAATGAATTATATATGACCCTCCCTCAACACCCAGAAGGTATGTGGACACGCAGAATTCAAAAGTCTGAGGGTGACTGTGCTTAAGGGGTGAAACAGCCTGTTTCAGGAGGAAGGCAGGACGTTCAATCACAGCGCCTGGCGACCAAAGAACTGAACTTTAACACAGCAAAGGTGAGTCGGTCTCCCCGCGACCACAGGCAACCAACCCAGGAACACCTCCCTCCACCTGGAAGGCCCAGGTGCAGCTGGAGGGCGACTTTTGAAAGGGTCAGACCACGGGATTGTCCTTAACTTTGGGCTTTTACACAGTAGTTTAGAAGACGAAGGGGCTTTTCAGGTAGGTTTGGTTTTCCGTCCTCCTCCTCCTCCCAGGGCCGCGCTTGGTCCCCAAAGTCCCCAGCGATGCTTGGGACGTCCCTCACTTCGCTCCTTTTCCTTGGGGCCACCGCGCGCCCCTAGGTTGCCTGCCATCCCTCCTAGAGAGAGGTGGATGGCCGCGACATTCCAGGGAGGAGAAACGGAGGAGATTGAGGGGGCAAAGATGCCCTTCTAACGTCCCACCCCGTGAAGGCATCAGGCTACGCCCGCGAGGCGCCCTCAGGCTACAGCCTTCGCAGCGCTTCCTTCCCTCGCCCCGCCCCTCTGCGCGGGGGAAGGGCACTGGGCGGCCGGCGCTCTCTGATTGGCTGCCGTGTCAGGGTTCCACGCAGCGATTGTGCCGTGGGCGGCCTTCGGCGCCTGCGTGGGCAAGGTGGGGAACCGGCTTGGTAGTTGCTGAAGTTGGAGGCGGGGGAGTGCTCCCTCGCAGCGAGTCTCGGCGGTGGCCGACAGGAAAGTTGAGAGCAGTCGCAAATATGAGCCTTTCGGTCGCCCTCCAGCACCACCATCCTGGACTCCACCCTGTCGCGGACCCTCAGTGACGCGGTGCAGCTGCCACTATACCAGGTGGGTTCAGGAACCGGGAGGCACCCAGGCGTCCGGCACGCGCCCTCGCCGCCCTTTGCGGCTTTGGTACCGCCAGACCGGGGACCTGGGACGGGGGTGGGGACTGGGTCCCGCCGCCCCTGAAAGGGTGGGGACGACAAGCCTGTCTCGGAGACCTCTCGCTCCCGCCATCCTCCTCCCTGCCTCCGCGGCGTGCGCCCCAGACCCCCATCCACCACCCAGGGCCGGGGTGGTCCAGGCGTTGGTGCCGGCCACAGCCCCCGGGGAGGGTCTTCATATAGACTTGAGGGTGTGCGTGCTGGTCCCTGCCTTCTGCCTCAATGGGGCTGGGACTAGGCAGGGTGCACAGGCTGGGATGTAGACGGGCGGAAGGCTGTGCTCCGGGGAGACCGGCGTGGTGGTGCCTGCCCCGCCAGTGGCGCTGAACGACCTCCGGAGAGGCTACTGCGTGGGTCTAGGTGTGAACGGTGCATTAGAGATGGCGTTTATGGGTGCGAGGGACACAGAAAGGCTTAAGTGCTCCTGGACTTTGGGGACAGTTTGCATTGGAGTGTGGTTTTAGGGAGACAGAGGCAACAGTCTGGGGAAGGCAGAGGTTATGAAGAAAAGTCAGAGGGAGTTATCCCCAGGATTCTAGCTGAGAAAGTTGCAGCCTTGTAGATAGAAGCAGCCACCCTTACCTCCTGGCCCAACCCTCAAAAAAGCACTTGGCAGTGTCCAGGGAAGGGTGGCATTTAAATGAGGCCAATTGAGTTTGATGGTTAAAGGGCCTAAGTGTTACTGAGAAATCAACAATATTGTGACGGGAAAATCAGGGCCATGTTTATTCAGCAAAGAAAGATTGGAAATATTGTGTTGGGAGAATTGAGAAGATTTAAGGAAGTTGTTGATTGGGGGTGTGGGAGGTAGAGTTAGGTGATTGCTCTAGCCCCATGCTAAAGGTAGACGACTTTGGAAATTTTGCTTACAGTTATTTCTAGCGCACTTAACCTAGAAGTTAAGTTCACTTTACAAGGGATACTGGTTCACTGTCCTTAGCCGGAATGTACGCCTGTTGTTTAGTCTTCGGGGATTTCATTTATAATATAGATTCTCTCTTGTCCAGACTGCTTTTCCTAGCAGCAAGCTGGAAACCTGACGTTGGGGTACGGGCTGCCTTGCGCTTTACTTTTTTTTTTTTTCCTGATAATAAAGGAACTGCATCATAAAATGTTGCTTTATGTGTTATTATGTTGGGGCGGGGGAATGATAACAGGGAATAAGAAGAGAAGCAGGGGTGAAAACACTCACTTTCCTCTTTAGAGAAGCTCCCTCACCCATCCCAACCCCTCAAGTCACACTCATGAAGATGAAGATGGGGACAGTCATTTGGGAGATTTAAAGGGATGTCCTCAAAACAGAACACCAGCCTCCCACCACCAGAGATGATTGGAAACATGTTTTCTCTTCTTCCTTGCCTGGGTCAGGGGAAGAGGCTGGTGAAGTTGGTGAGCATCAGCTGGACCAGCTGCCCTGGGTAGAGAGCATGGGCTGCTGGGTCAGATGTCTCCTGCTCTGGCTGAAACAGGGTTGGTCCAAACACAATTCCCAGGTTGTCGGGTGTCATGCGATTCTTATCTGAGTGTGCTATTACCCTGCATAAATGCTCCAGGAGATACCGTAGAGTGTTGTGGTTGGGCTTTGGCATTGTTATGTGGAAGGAGTGTCCAAAAAAATTAAATAAAAAATAAATAAATCTGCCCTCTGTTGAAATCTCATACTGCGGTCATAACTTCCAGTTAAATAGTAAAGTACCTATCCCCACCTATCTTGAACAGCAGTTATAATGTGTACCCTGCGAATAAAGTATTGGTAGTGAAATTAATCGTGTATTTGAAGAAAATACTATTCTCTGTTTATTAATAAATTGATCAGAATTTAGTGTTTTTCATCTTCTCAGCCCTGTGGAAGATCATCGCTGTTTTCCACCCTGACCTGCAGTGTAGTGTGTCACACTCCTGATTTAAACAGGCTGCTGCCAGTGCATCAGCAAATGCAGATGTCTGTAAAAAAAACATACTGCTGATGAGGAGCAAGGGAGACAGCCGTATACATTTACATTTATTTTAGGGAGACCAGCATGTGTTCACATTCTCTTTCTCTTCCCCCTTTCTTTCCCTTCTCCGAACCCCATGTCTGCCATAATGCCAAAATAAAAAAAAATTTTTTTTTTTTTTTTTTTTTAACATCCATATTCACTTTATTTTTAAACAGAAGAGCATGTACCCAAAGAGAAGCAGGACTGAGAACCAACACGGGGGCTTGCTGGAAGGGATCCGCCCCAGCCTTCTGACTTCAGAGTGTCTCAAGCTCCAGTGGCCATGGGGATGGAGCTGCCCCTTGATATGCACTTTAGAAAGGTCAATTCCCCCATCCCCCAAAAGAAACGGAGAAAAAGAGGTAAGAGGTCAATGAATCCCTGGAAGACTGTCCCAGCATCCTTTCAGGGATGGTGTATGACCGACCGCCAGTCCACAAATCTGACTGGTAAGGGATTTAGTAACACCAAATGGAGCTGGGCAGAGTATCAGCCTGGATGACATACACCCAGCACTAGAATACACCTTTCATTAGAACGAAGGGAGCAAAGCCCTCAGAAAAGATACAAAGGCAGAGACATTGATTAGAACATTATCTCATAACACAGGTGGGGGCCATTACCCACCGTTATTGTAAAAGAACTGTAACTAACCAAAACACATATAGGCCGAAATATTTTCTTTGTTATGCTAATAATACCTTTTAATTTATATAATGCTTATAACTCTTTAAAAGTGATTTCATAGAAATGACCTCATTTAAACATCTCAGCAACCAGAGAAAGTTCTTTTCAGTACTCAAAAAAGCAGGAGAATCATGGGGAGGAGACAGGACTTAAAACTTTTTGACACGTCTTTCATTGTTTAGCTGAAGGTCTTGAGTTGGTAGCTTTGGGACTACTATAAATTTGTACACCCACGTATAGCCCTAATTTGTGTAGTACAGTTATGTACTGCATAGTGCCAGTGAGGTCATCAGAACTCATATGATTTTGGTCCCATGGATTATAAGGGAGCTGAAAAATTCCCGTTGCCTAGTGAAGCTGCAGTATTCACAATTTCTTAGTTACTCATCTTTTTGTGGTGATGCTGGTGTAAACAAACTTACTGTGCAGCCAGTCCTGTAAAAGTATAGCATATGCACTTATGTACAGTACCTAATACTTGGTAACGTTAAATACATTATTGGTTTGTGTATTTTCTACACATTCTATCATTGTTTTAGTGTGTACTTCTGTTGATTAAAAAGAAAAGTTAACTATAGAACAGCCTGAGGCGGGTCTTTCAGGAAATATTCCAGAAGATGGCACTGTCATAATAGCAGGTGACAGCTACATGAGTGTTATTGGCCCTGAAAACCTTTCAGAGTGACGAGATTGGAGGTGGAAGACAGTGATGTGAATGATCTGGACCCTGTGTATGCCTAGGCTAGTGGGTGTTTGTGTCCTAGTTTTTAACAAAAAGTTTTAAAATTAAAAACAGAACAAAGCTTATAGAATTAGGATATAAGGAAAGAATATTTTGTACAGATGCACAATGTGTGTTTTAAGCTAAGTGCAATTATGGAAGAGTTTAAAACTTTGTAAAATAAAAAGAGTTACAGTAAGCCAAGGTTAACTGAAGAAAGAATTTTTCAGTGTAGCCTAAGGGTAAAGTATTTACAAAGTCAATAGTGGTGTACAGCAATGTCTTAGACCTTAGCATTCATTCACCCCCCGCTTACCCACAACAACTTTTAGGCCTGCAGTCTCCATTCATGGTGAGTGCCCTATATAGATATGCCATTTTTTATCTTTTATCCAGTGTTTTTACAGTACCTTTTCTATGTTTAGATACACATGTACTATAGTATTCAGTACAGTAAGCTGCTATATAGGTCTGTAACCTATATAGCATGGGGAGGAGACAGGACTTAAAACTTTTTGACACGTCTTTCATTGTTTAGCTGAACCCTGAACCATCTAGGCGCATGTGTAGTAGGCTAGACTGTCTAGGTTAGTGTAAGTCCACTGTCATGTCCACAGTGAATTGCCTAATGATGCATTTTTAAAGATGTACTCCCATTATTAAGCAACACATGAGTATATTTACAGTTATTTTCTATTTGAGCAAGTCTTGAGAATATTTGATTAATACCACACAAGCCTTAACTTTTCATGCTGATAATTGTTTCTTTGAAGCACCTAAGAATTGACTTGCTTGTTGATGAAGTTCCTGGGATAATAAAAACTCATATTGTAAAATTGGATGAATAAAATCATTTAGTTATCATTTTAAAATTGAACATTTTAGAGAACATAGGACATTTTTATAATGTAAATAGTCCAGGTTGAGAAAAAGCTTAGGAATTTGTTGTATTCAAATAGTGTGAGTCAACAGGAAAAAGACAAATCAGGAAATGAAAAGTGCAAAAATACAACTTATAAGTATGTTAATTTGGTATATGCAAATTTACGGTGTTTTGAAAAATTAGAAAATTATAGAAGTAGTTGTTTAATGTCAGATGACGCAAAGGAGTTTAGTGTAACAAAAACAGTTAACTTTTTACTAGAGTAAGTGTAGAATTGATGAGATGATAGAAGTTACTGGTCCGTATGGAACGTAAGAATGTGCCTTGCAGGGCCAGGTAGCAGACAGGAGGGAGTGTTTTGCAATAAGGCTGAGGCCAAGGAAGGAGAAGGAGCAGAAGATCTTGCCGTAGACTCCTGTATTGTTTAATCATTACTGAGAATTCCATAGTGACCTTGAGGTAGCCATAGTATTTGTTTAGCAGGCCTCAAATCTTAATAAATATATAGAATCTATTCTCAGGTGAGGTTACACCATGCTGTAAGATAGGAATTTTCTATCGTCTGAGGTTTGCCTTTGAAGGCCTTGCTTTCCAGATGATTTTATTTCTAGGGTAATGTTACTAGTTGGTTTTGATTAAAAGAAGATATGAAGAGAAGGTTTTGAGGAAGGAATTGGACTAAGGGAGAGCTGTGCTATGAAAAGGGCCAGATGTGCGATTTAGAAGACACCAGATATCATTGAACATATTTGTGTGGGTTTTTTTTGTTTGTTTTTTTGAGATGGAGTTTGCTCTTGTTACCCAGGCTGGAGTGCAATGGCACAATCTCGGCTCACCACAATCTCCGCCTCCTGAGTTCAAGCAATTCTCCTACCTCAGCCTCCTGAGTAGCTGGGACTACAGGTGCACGCCACCATGCCCAGCTAATTTTTTGTATTTTTTAGTAGAGACAGGGTTTCACCTTGTTGACCAGGATGGTCTCGATCTCTTGACCTCGTGATCCACCTACCTCAGTCTCCCTAAGTGATGGGATTATAGGCGTGAGCCACCATACCCGGCCCATATTTGTGTTTTTTGTTAGTTTCTGATGTGCTGATGTTCAGTTCATCTGTAACTTGAAAAGTAAGATGGGCTGGACGAGATGGCTCATGCCTGTAATCCTAGCACTTTGGGAGGCTGGGGGAGGTGAATCGCCTGAGGTCAGGAGTTCGAGACTAGCCTGACCAAAATGGTGAAACCCCGTCTTTACTAGAAATACAAAAATTACCCAGGCATGGTGGCGCACGCCTGTAATCCCAGTTACTCAGGAGGCTGAGGCAGGAGAATCGCCTGAGCCTGGGAGGCGGAGGTTGCAGTGAGCAGATTGCATTCCAGCCTGGGCAATAAAAGCGAAACCGTCTGGTGATGGGGAGGGCGGGGAAGTAAGGCAGCATGAATGAAATATTTCATAACATTTTTGCTGTTTGTGAGTGGATTCTTTTTTTTATAGTAATGTAAATATGTTGACATTTTTGCATTTTCAATTTCATTTGTGTTTACACTAATGTATTATGTACGCTAATAGGGAACTCAATTTTTTTTCATCTGATTTATAAAGTAATACATCTTTATGGTATAAAATTTATAAAATAAAAATTTATTAACTATGAAAGTTTAGAAATCACTCAATTTCCTTCATTCCAGGGAAAACTTAATTTTTTTAGAATGTGTATATATATTGAAACAGAATTAGAGTCACACTGAATATAAAGCTTTTGTAACATAGCCACCACATCATGAGGAATCTCGGGGCATATAAGATGCCTTGTGTCGGTGTTTGAACCTACAGGCCCAGCTAAAGTCTCAGGTGACAGACAGCATTCACCAACTGACATGTGAGTGAGTGAGCCTTTAGATAATACCAGTCGCTGGCTACTGGCAAATAGAGAAGTAATGAGGTGTCCATGCTGAACCATGTCCAAATTGCAGATTCCAGAGCAAATGAAACGTTAGTGTTTTCAGCCACCAAATTCAAGGGTACTTTTTAGGTCATTAGATTGTTCATTTGGCAATCATATATTTTAAAACAATTGTAATTGAAATATAACATATATAGTGAAATGCATAGATCTTAAGTGTGCAGTTTGATCAATTTTGACAAACGTGTACATGTTTGTAACTCATACTGTGAAACCCTTGTAAAGGTGAACATGGAACACCAGAGCAAACAAGGTGTAAGTATTAGATGATGAGTCAAAGAGATTGGGAGGCCTTTGGCTTAATAAAAATATGATAGGAAGACATCAGATTTTTAGAAATACATTTTTTATTTTAAAAGAGTCTTAAATTTACAGAAAGTTGTCAAAATAGTAGAGAGAGTTTCCAAATAACGTACATGCAGTTTTCCTATTGTTAACATGTTACATTACTGTGGTTATTTGCCACAATTAGTGAAGTAATATTGATATATTATTATTGACTAAGTTCTATACATGATTGATTTCTTTAGTTTTTACTTAAGGTCTGTATTAGTTAGCTGCCATAACAAAATTCCATACACTGAGTGGATTAAACAAAATAAATTTGTTTCACAGATCCGGAGACTGAATGTCTGAGATCAGGTGCCAGGATTGTTGGGTTCCAGTGAGGCCTCGCTTCCTCACTTGCACACGGCACAGTCCCCTTTCCTAGGTGTGTTCTCACAGAAAGAGAGAAAGAATAAGCTCTCTGTGTCTCTTTATAAGAGCACTAATCCCATCAGACCAGGGCCCTGCCCTCATGACTTCATCTAATGCTGATTACCTTCCAAACACCCTAGCTCCAGATGCATTCGGGGTTAAAACTTCAACATACGAAGATTCTGGGGAGGCCACAAACATTCAGTTTAAAACAAGGTCCTTTTTGTGTTCCTGGATCTTATGCAGGTTACCATATTACATTTAGTCGTTGTATCTCCTTAGCTTCCTTTAGACTGTGGCAGTTTCTCAGACTTTCCTTTCTTTTTTGGTGGCCTTGTCTGCTTTGAGGACACGCATTTGTGGAATGTCCCTCAAGTGGGATTTATCAAATGTGTTTCTCATGATACGTCTGGG